ATGGATCCTTCCGTACGGCGTCCGGCCCTTGCGGATACAAACATAATTCTCTACAAACCGAAGCAGAAACTAAAGTTTGATGCTCTTTAAACAATCATATTCATGTTGTGAGGTGAATCTCTACATGGTATAAACAAGGCATGTGTTTAAAAGTAAAAATACAGAGACTGACTTGTACTACACACTCAAGCAGAACAACATCCACCTTGTTTCACAGCTGATACATCATCACGGGAACCAACACTAATTGTCTGCCCTTTCGGTAAAGCTGCTGGATCGTCTCCAATCTCAAGGGCCTTCTTGCTTACAACATGATAGATCTGAGTCAGCACTTCTGTGAAGGCATTTCCAACGTTCAACGATTCGAGGGCAGATGTTTCCATAAAAAATGTTCTCTCTCGCTGGGCGAAAGTTGTAGCATCTTCGGTGGAAACTGCTCGCAGATGACGCAGGTCTGCTTTGTTCCCTACAAGCATCACCACAATATTGGCATCTGTATGATCTCTCAGCTCTTTTAGCCATCTCTCCACATTTTCAAAAGTAACATGACGCGTAACATCATAGACTAGTAAAGCACCAACAGCTCCACGATAATATGCACTTGTAATAGCTCGGTACCTTCAGTATACAGAAAAAGAACTAAATTGGTTAATAAAATACAAAATAAACGACAGATCATTATTTACATGGGATCTAGAATTAGGTTATGCTACTACAGACGATTCTTGTTAGGATTTCCCAATCGACATGAGTATAAACACTACTAGCTTGCTTACACATAAATATGTTTTCATAAAGAAAAACGCACAGTATTCTGGCAATTGATTGTAGTGCAGCCTAATTAGGAAGATAAATGATGATGAATAATCGAAATAGTTCACCCAGAAAGGAAGACTAGCCTTAGATCTTTCAATTTCATCATATCTAAAACTTTGTGAGAAACTCCTTTTAAGTTATCCTTTTTCAAGCATGATGTTTATCTCTCTGCTTATATTTTGTCTTCAGGACTAGACAACTAGGATCAGTGTCCTTAGAAACATACCAGTTTGTTAGAAACAAAACTGTAATGGCTCAGAGTGTCATGTGATTTTCAACTCAATTGTGCTGAAGCAGTATAGAAAAGAGCTCACCCAAACAAAATAGCATCTTTCTAGTTTCTCCATCAGCTCTCACTTCCACTAACCGAAAGAAAAAAAAAATAGCTTCTTTATCCCACAGCCACCACACCTCTTCACTCAACCATTTTGCCTCAGGTTGAAGAGCTGGTCCAGCTATGACACAAACAAAGGAGTAGCTGCAAAGCCCACATATTCGCCAGCAACATCATTGTGTGTGGTTGACTACTATATGATTTGAATTTTGTACTCCAAAACTGCTTACAGTTTAAACAAGATTTGCTAAGACAGGTGACGAAGGGGGCACAAGCTATAACAGAGTGTGGATTTGATGGAGGGGTTAAGCAAAATTAAAATAGAAGAGACATCACGAGAACATTCCTCTGCGGTTTCTGTTTTTAAAACACTTAATTTTGAACACAACTTTCAAACCTAATAGATTTTGGATGACAAATTGATTGTTGAGTAATGTAAAATTATTTCAAACAACTTATAAAACCAAAAAGTGAGAAGAAAATCAAACAGGCATCAAGTTCCGCCTACAATTTCCACCAAATTACTGTTTCATTAGAACGGAACCAATTTGAGGAGCTGCTCAATGGCTACTTCTGTTGCAACTATAACTGTCCCGCTAACTAGTTTGCTAACAAAATTACTGCATTGACTTTCTTTTCAGCCATCATATTACCAAATAATTCAAGCTTTCATCATGATAGTACTGGTCCAGTTGGTTTAATTTCTTTCGTCGTTCATTGGTTAATACAACTCCCCACCCTATTACCAGTATCTAACCAACAGCTACAACCATAACATTAGCATGTTAACATATTAATCTTAAATGGTAGGGAAGAAAATCTTCACATCTTAGCAGTGACATGTCACACGTTTTAATTTTCTTTCCCACACTTTCTCATGCCTTCAACCTATAAATACATTTATTATATATATATAATTTCCTTTAGGCGCAAACAAAGAATAGCAAGTTCCACAAATAGCCGGTAGCTAAGATATACTGAGATCATGAAGTTACAAAAGAAGCCTGAGTTCCAACTTTGTTTCGCAAAGAACAGAAGGGAACATATTCTCTTCTGTCCATTTTGAAACAAAAAAAAAATCAAACACAACAATTTGGAAATTATGCATGGTTTCTGGATGCACAACATAGTTTAGAAAAATAGACACATTCAGATGAACTAAAATCGATTCATGTTGACATTTGGCACCAACTGATGTGCTAGCTAAACATAACATAATATACAACAGTTATATATAAATCGGAAACAGATTGAACCTGACTTTAATTACCAACCTGATATACCGAGTTATACCACTTTCCACCAAATTCATGTTTCATTAGTAGAAACCAATTCAAGTTCATCAAAAGCTGCCCACCATCCAATTCCTCACATAACCCTAATCAATTAGTCAGAAACATATCATATCAACTTTCTTTCTCACTATCTTGTCATTAACAACTCCAGACATTGGTAACCATCGTGGGATACAATACACTATTATCTTCATAATTCTTTCATTACTCAGAAAATATGTCTCTTACAAAGTAACCAGCAACTCCATCTTCTTTTTAAAGAAGCTACGAGAATGAAAACCATAACATCGTAATGTTGGCACATCAAACTCAACCTTAAAGCTCACCGAAAGTAACAACTGACAAATAAAACAATCCAGCTCATTTCACCAAGAAGCTCAGAGCAAAATGCCACGATTTTACGTTTCATTGGAAAGAAAAAGCCGCACGCACAATAATAACATAAGACATCCATTACAACGACTTCCGTTACAAAAGCCACCTAAGCATGATAAAAGCTTCAAATTTCACTACATCCTCAATCTAATTACGTCGCCAACACAAAAAGGGTGCATGAAAAAAACAATAACGTAAAACCTCAAAAGACCACATAAAGCATACATTCCTACTTTCATACCTCCTGCCCAAAATGCAAAAAATCAAATCACAAGCATCGACTCACACACCCACATATAAATAAAGAGGATAGTGATAAAAGTAATTAAGAGAGGGAGAAAGAGAATGAAATAGCGTTTGTGTAATACCTTTCTTGGCCAGCAGTGTCCCAAATCTGAGCCTTGACAACCTTGTCATCGACGCGAATGCTTCTGGTGGCGAACTCAACGCCAATGGTAGACTTGGATTCGAGGCTGAATTCGTTTCGCGTGAATCGAGAAAGAAGGTTCGATTTGCCGACGCCGGAGTCGCCGATCAGAACCACCTTGAACAAGTAATCGTAATCGTCGTCGGCTCTGTACGCCCCCATTTGTTGTTCCTCCTTTTATTGTGTATGTATGGATTTGTAGAGAGTGAAAGGAGAAAAGTGAAACGGAGGAAAAAAATGTTGGAATTTGAATTAAAAAGAAAAAACCCAGATTTGGAAGAAAGATGATACAAAAGCGGACTTCACTTTTGTAATGTTAACAAATTTACAACTAGTTCCATAAAAAAAAATACAATGGGTTACACCCATGCCTCCAAAATTAAGTAAATAGCAACGAAAATACATTTAGTAGTTTGCCTTAACCAAACCATATTTGATCGGTGTTGATTCCCAAACAATATTGAGAACTGAAGAGGAAGCTCATTCATCATCTTTGGTTGGTTTTTTCATATATTATTTCATGAAAATTTTAGAGGAATTAAAATTCCTTCTAGTTTATTTTGTTAAATTTTAATAACTGTTTCTACGTGGGTCCACTGCATACTCTCATTTTTTTAATAATTGGATTTTCAAGCACATGTTGTTTTAAGTTAGTAGGCATCCGAGTACAAGGATATTAAATACAATAATCAACTTTGTAAACAACTTTATGTGGATATCCTATTTATATAAATTATAATAAATTTTATTTATTATTAACATAATTACAGCCTAATTATACCTTAATATAATTATTTAGTTGATTTGTGTTAAAGTGTTTTTAAAGTAGTTAATCACACCAAATGTCTATCATTCGGACATGTTCGATATTATCGATTTATATGACCAATGGATTAACATGCTACTCTATTATTTTTGGCCATCTAACTGGTAGACCCATACTACTCTGCATTTGTTGTAAGTTGGAAAGCGATTTTATCCGGTTGGTATGTTTTGGTTTCTTTCCTTTTAATTTTAGTTATAAAAGAAAGAGAAAGGAAGATAAGAAAAGAGAGAAGAAGGACCATGAGAAAAGAGAGAAAGAGAAACAAGAAAAAAACAGAGAAGGAAATGAGAGAAAAAGAAAAGATTGAAAGAAGAGAAAAAGAGAAAATGTTACTGAAGGCACTTGTCACTTCCTAAAAATAATTGAATCTGACATGATAAACGGAGTTTTAAAATCTTTGAACTTTTCTCAATTTAGCATTAATTCATCTCTCTTAATTCCCACTTTTAATCATAAGAATGTTTCAAATTTACTCTTTCTTCCAATGTTTTAAACTTCTCTTTGGATACTTCAAAATCATACTTTGAGTTGATGTTACCTTCTAGATTGCAATTAACTCAAAGGAGACAAAAACACTTTTGTGAAGGGGACCTTAAAAGTTTTCAAGGAAATTCTTTCAAAATTAAAATAAGGCTTTCTCATAATTTTCCATTGATATATATTTTGTGTGTGATAAAAAGATTTAATGAAATATTGATTGATGATTATTGCATATGGATCTTTGATTCTGAAGGAATGATACACAAGTTGACCATAAATAAGAAAAGGGCTTTTGTCATGAAGAAACATGAAGATTTAAGGACAAATCTTTTTCAAGAGGGAATGAATGATGATATACCCCCAGCCATGGTCAAACACTTTCAATAAGAGTTGAAGTCATATGTGAAAGATGGGCATAGACTCTAAATCTTGGGCCATCTTAGGCCATCACGAACCTTTTAAAGTAACAATGATTTTGGGTCTTGTATTTTAGGTCAAGTAGTCTAGGATTTATTTGGGTTTTTGTATTATGAGCCTAATAGTGTAGGATTTAATTTGGGCCTTGTATTTTCGTCACTTGTCTCCTTTCGATTGGAGAGGATTTCTCCTTGCTCTCCAAGCTAGCCAAGGTGGCTCTTTTTGGTTAAAGTTTTTGTCCATTTTGAGACACTTAAGCCTATATATAGAGGTGTCTCTCCTTCATGTAATTACCTTTGGTTTAGAGTAAAGTTATGCTGTCATTTTTGTGTCATACTACTCTTTTAAGGTCACCCTAGGCTAGAGTAACCCAAGTGGCCTCCTCTAGTCACTTTCCTCCAAGAGTTGGCCCAACCTCTCTTAGAGCATCGCTAAACACCACCTCCATCATCCATAAACATCACAAAATTGTGAGCTTAGTTCCCTTGTCCATCAAAGCTTCGACACCATATCATCCTTCACCCACCTTGATGAGTTACGTTCCAGCTAATGGATGATATGAACCAGCGGAATGGTGGTTTGGCCCGTGCGCAGAGATAATGTTGCGTACTGGATTTTCTTTGGCAATGGAAGTAATGAATTAAGTGAAGGTTGTTGGTGGGGGAAGGAGCTATCGGTGGAGCCAAAGCTAGCTCAGACGACCTTTCATCCCTGGAAAGAAGCTAGAGGAGAGAAAGGGGAAGCTCAAGGAAGGTGACTTTTGGACAGAGTAAGGGGGTTGGCTTCAAGGCAGCAAAGGCTTACTCATATTCATTCAAAAGTATTTTACAATGTGAAGAGGTGATGATTTATAGCATTCCTAAGCTATGCACGGTGCCTATGATGAGCAGCTGATGATCGTCCTTCAACCACGGATCAAAGGCCACATAGGCAGCACATGGGTCACGTTAAAGACTCCTGTAGAAGGCCATCTGTTTGCTTGTGTGCACTGTTGGCAGAAGTAGCTCTTTGGGTGCAGGCCGATGAAGGGATTGGGTTGAGCATGGCCCAATCCGGAAGTCAGTGTCAACCTTGCTCCAAATGATGCATTTCTTCAAAGTTGCTTGCTGGAAAATGTTCTCTAGGTCTTCTTGAAGCCTTCTAAGCATTCCTCTAGTCATGGGTCCTTGAGTGTATGACTTGATGGGTGCCAACTCTTCTTATTTATGCTTGATTTTATTGATGATGGGTTCATGGTTGTCTATTGGGATTGAGCCCAAGTCATCATCCCCTCCCCCTTGGAAAGGATTTGTCCTCAAATCTGATGGTATGTTTTTTAGAGGACTTATTTTTGTAGGCTTCATAAGAGTTCCTCCTGGGTCAAATATGAATCTGCAATAAGCATCAAACATATCTCGAATTAGATTTAATTGACCCAATAAAATACATGAAAAAATATGTTTAGAAGAAGACTTCCTAATGTTGAAATTTTCAATTTTTATAAATCTAGGAAGTTTTTCTTCATTTGAAAATTTATTTTTGTCTTGAGTTAGTGGTAACCATAGAGGTAACCATAATTCAAGTTTTGAATTGCCACATGTTGAAAATTGTAACATTTTGAAAGATGGCATGGCAATTTCTTTAAAAGAATTAGAAGATTTAATTATAAATTGAGAAAAGTAAAAGGATAGAAAACCTTCCCTTAAGAGTCTAGATTCTATTGGAAGTGTACGAGATGTTGCCCTCAATTGCTCTTTCTTCTTTTCTTCCATTTCTTTCCTTTCAATTTCTTCCTTTTCTTCCTCTTCTTCCTCTTCTTTTCTCTCTTCTTTTCTCTTCTTTTCTTCTCTCTATTTCTTCCTCTTCTCTTCTCTCTCGTTCTTTCTCTTCTCTTCTTTCTTTTCTCTTTCTTGTTTCTTGCTCTTGTTTTTTTTCCTTTTTAATCTCTCAATTTTGTATTTGCTTGTCTCTTCCCATAGCCTCTTAAGTTTTTCTTGAAACTCACTTTCCCTACGAGAGAATCCTCTTAAGTTTTTAATGAATGACTTGCCTTGTCTAATAAGCTCTCTCATAAGTTCTAACATTCTTTGAGTTTCTGGAGGCGCAAACTTTCTTCTCAAACAAGTTTTCAATTCATTCCAATCATGGATGGGGGATTTTCTACATTGTTTAAAACTAGTTTTCCTGTTATTCCACCACTCTTTTGTATACCCTTCAAACTTAGAAATGTATATCCTAGGAACACTATTTTTATTTGTTCGAGAAAAACATGATAGGTTTCACAAGAATCACTAATTTTAATCATGAGTGGATGTATTTCATCAATTTTCTTTTCCCAAGCTAAGTAGGTTAAAACACTTGTGTCTCCACCAAAAAAAGGAATTTCCCTATTAGCTTGATCATATATATCACACTCAATCATATCCATTTCCCAAAAGGTACAAGTTTTCCTAGATTTTTCAAGTGTGTCAATCATATTTTTGAAAGTGTTTAGATGGTCAGAACTGATATGACTACTCCTAGAAGACCTATAACTTGACATCCTTTGTTCTTAAAAGCTTTTCTAATCTAAAGGATTATAAGCTTTACTTAGACAAATCTCAAGTAAGAGAGGTGAACCACAAGGGTTTCTTAAGTAACAGGTCTTACCTTGCTAGAGATGTCTTAGACTAACTTAATCACCCTTTAAACTAAAATCACCTTAAAAATCAATGGACATGACTTACACAAAAAGAGATAAACAAAAGACTAGACTCCTAATTTCGGACACCTAATGTGACAAGGTTTAGAGTTTAAGCTCTTGTAACCTAAGTCACTGATAACAGTTGAAAAACTGTTATTTTCATGCTTAAAAGTGATACTAAAAGCAACCTTTAGACTTAGAAACTAGCTTGAAATCATGCATT